AGGGGTTTAGGGTTCAGGGCTTGTTAAGGTTCAACGACTCAACCCTCTACCATACATAATGCAGGGGTCAGAATAATTGCCAATAATCTTCCCTCATGGTCCCTTTATAGCTATACTATAACTCCCCGCAGCTTCTTGCCGCTCTTGCTCCATCTGGAGTGCCACACGCGGTTTCGGGCTCAGTAGGCTCCAGGGGTTCAGGGGACTTAGGGGGATTCAGGGCTCCCTAAACCCTAAACCCTAAACCCTAAACCCTAAACCCTAAACCCTAAACCCTAGACCCTAAACCCTAAACCCTAAACCCTAAACCTTGGAAGAGCCCGACAAGTCGCCATGGGCCTGGCTTCCTCCGTGGCCCAGCCTGCATGCTGCGAGCCGGGTTCACCGGAGGCCAAGAATCAGTTTTGGGTTTAGGGTTTCGGGTTTGGGGTTTGGGGTTTAGGGTTTGGGGTTTAGGGTTCGGGGTTGAGGGTTTTGGTTTTACGGCTTAGGGTTTAGGGTTTGGTGTTTAGGGTTTGGGGTTTAGGGCTTAGGGTTTGGGGTTTAGGGTTTGGGGTTTAGGGCTTAGGGTTTTAGGGTTTGGGGTTGAGGGTTCAGGGTTTGGGCTTTAGGGTTTGGGGTTTGGGTTTGGGTCTAGGGTTTTAGGGTTTTAGGGTTGTAGGGATCAGGGTTTAGGGTTCAGGATTTAGGGTTTGGGTTTTAGGGTTTCAGGGTTTAGGGTTTTGAAAAATGTTTCTTGGAGTTTGGAGGGGGAGTTTCGATCGGTGGTAGGGGGATTCCATTTTTCAGGGTTTTGGGTTGTTTGGACTTAGGATTTCCCTAAATCCCAACCCTTGACCCTAAACCCTAAACTCTCGGGGTTGGGGTTAGGTTTGGAGGCACGTGTGGATTTGCTGAACAAGCTTGAATCGCTTCCCTCTGACTGTCAAAAAGGAAACCCCTTAGCATTCTAAGAACCTCAACGTTGCAGTTGACATCTAGGTAACCCTACACCCTAAACGATAAAACCCTGAGCCCTAAACCCTAAAACCCGAAACCCTAAAACCCTAAACCCTAAACCCTGGCCCTAAACCCTAAAACCCTAAAATCCGAAACCCTAAACCCTGAAACCCTATGCCTGAAGCCCTTTTGAGGCGCTGCCAGAGACCATCGTCAGTGGGGAGGGCCAATGCAAGGCCTTGGGGGGCGTCATGCGCTCCAGGGTTCATGATCAGGGTTTAGGGTTTAGGGTTTAGGGTTAAGGGTTTAGGGTTTAGGGTTTAGGGTTTAGGGATTCAGGGTTGAGGGTTGAGGGTTGAGGGTTGAGGGTTTAGAGAGCTTAGAGGGTTTAAAGTTTAGAGTGCTTAGAGGGTTTAGAGGTTTTTTCGGCGTTTAGAGGGTTTTTAGTGATTTTCGGGGGTGGTGTAGTGGTGTTCGCTTGTGGGAGGTATAATCTAGAGATTGAGATCAGGTCTTAAGGTTTAGGGCTGGGATCCTGGAGCACGCTTGGCTTACACGTAGCATGGATTGGTCTCGTTTTACTTTCGTTTTTTGTTTTTGGAGTGGGGGTAGGGTTTAAGGCTAAGGGTTTATAGGGTTGGGATGGTTTATAAAAGATCTGGTTCAGGCTCGCGTAAGGCTTTCAGTTTTGGGGTGGGGGGGGGGGGTTCAGGGCCTTGAGGGCGTCAGATCGCTTGATGAGGCCGGAGGCGATTGCCCGCCACACCCCAATCCACTTCGCAGCCGGTGAAGTAGCTTTCGAGGATGCCAAGTAGTGCCCTTATTCCCTTTCTGGGGGGTTTTAGGTCCTCTTATAAACCAACCCTAAACCCTAAACCCTAAACCCTAAACCCTAAACCCTAAACCCTAAACCCCTTGAAGCAAAGAAGGGCACCCTTGTCAGTCCTAGGTTTTTTGGGCAACCTTGTTTTGGAGTAGGGCATCACCAGTTGCGGGTTTACAGCATCCTTCACTTCAACCGGAGGGAGCTTGCATATTAGGGTTTAGGGTGGTGGCAGATGACCAGAACGTTTCTGACGGCAATTGTGCATATGTTGCTCCCACTTTCGCTCTGTGTCTAGCATTAGGGTTCAGGGTTTGTGGTCCAAGGTAGGTTCAAAACACTAAACCCTAAACCCTGAACCGCCTAAACCGTTCAAAATCGGGTGTTGCGCTGCGGTGTGTTTTGCAACAAGTCTCGGTCGAAGAAGAGCCGGACTTAGGGTTTGATGTCTCAGACCCAGAGGAAGAGTCCCTAAACCCTAAACCCTTAACCCTAAACCCTTAACCCTAAACCCTAAACCCTAAACCCACACCCCAGAGCCCAAGCTGTAGGCAGCCTCCACCACAACGTCTGCCACGCTGGACCTTACAGATCTGGACGTGGAGTTGTCAGGCTACCTCAGGGTTTAGGGTTTAGGGTTTAGGGTTTAGGGTTGTAGGGTTTTAGGGTTTAGGGTTTAGGGTTCAGGGTTTAGGGATTAGGGTTTAGGGTTTGGGGTTTTAGGGTTTAGGGGTTTAGGGTTTAGGGTTTAGGGTGTTTAAGGTTTTTAGGGTTTATTGGGTTATGGGGTTTACAGGGCTTGTGGGGTTTCTAAGGTTTTTAGAGCTTAGGGTTTAGGAGTGGGGGTGGCTCAAAGCTTGCCGAAGCCCATCGGTGTCCCTGAATAGGGTTTAGGGTTTGGGGTTTAGGGTTTAGGGTTTGGGGTTTAGGGTTTAGGGTTTAGGGGAGTTTGGGGTTTAGGGTTCCATACTCCCGTTATTGTATACTTTCTTGTCGACTATGTGGGGAAGGGCGGTCTTATAGTTATTATTGATATTCTTGTTATTTTATTCTTATTGTTCAGGGTGAGTTCATGCTTCTGTTTGTTAAGGAACCCAGAGAGCTCTAACCCGAAACCCTAAACCCTCAACCCTCAACCCTAAACCTTAACCCTAGAGCCTTTGCTAGTTCTCACGGTCCTACAGGTAGCCGCATTGGCATCTGACAGCGCGGCGCGTTTCGGGAACGCCCAGCCATAAAACCCTAAACCCCATGAACCCCTAAACCCCAAACCCAAGACCCCAAACCCTAAACCCCAAAGTCTCAACCCTGAACCCTAAAGCCTAAACCCCAAACCCTAAACCCAAAACCCTAAACGAAACCCCAGACTCTAAACCCCAAAGCCTAAACCCTGAAGCCTAACCCCAAACCCTAAACCCTGGCGTTTCGGGACCCCCAGACCCTAAAACCCAATAAACCCTAAGCCCCATTAACCCCTAACCCCCAAACCCAAAACCCCAAACCCTAAACCCCAAAGCCTAAACCCTGAACCCTAAAGCCTAAACCCCGAACCCCAAACCCTAAACCCTAAAGCCCATACCCAAAAACCCAAACCCTAAACCACAAAGCCTAAACCCTGAAACCTAAAGCCTAAACCCCAAACCCTAAACCCCAAGCCCCAAACCCTAAACCCCAAACCCCAAACCCCAAAACCTAAACTTCCCCAAGCCCCAAAACCCAAAAACCCTCAACCCTACCCCTACACCCTAAACCCCAAACCCTAAACCCCAAGCCCTGAACCCTACCCCTAAACCCTAAACCCTAAACCCTAAACCCTAAACCCTAAACCCTAAACCCTAAACCCTAAACCCTACGCCCCACACCCTAAACCCTAAACCCTAAACCCTAAACCCTACGCCCCACACCCTAAACCCTAAACCCTAAACCCTAAACCCTAAACCCTAAACCCTAAACCCCACACCCTAAACCCTAAACCCCAAGCCCTGAACCCCAGGGATGGCCATGACAAAGTCGGAGCAGCAGAAGGCCCAGAGCTACTCGGAGGTGCTCCTGCAAAGTTTAAAAGAAGTTTATTGGGGTTTAGGGTTTAGGGTTTAGGATTTGGGATTTGGGGTTTAGGGTTTTGGGTTTTGGGTTTTTGGGTTTTTGGGTTTTTGGGTTTTTGGGTTTTTGGGTTTTTGGGTTTTTGGGTTTTTGGGTTTTTGGGTTTTTGGGTTTTGGGTTTTGGGTTTTGGGGAAGGTTAGGTCTTGGGGCTTGGGGTTTAGGGCTTGTGTTTTGATGTTTAGGGGTCGGGGTTTGGGGATTTGGGGTTGTGGGGCTTGGGGTTTTGGGGCTTGGTGCGGGGGTTTTGGGTGTGGGGTTTGGGGTTCAGGCTTTGGGGTTTGGGGTTTTGGTTTCAGGGTTTTGGGCTTACACCTTGAAGGAGACCCTAAACCCTGAACCCTGAACCCTGAACCCTGAACCCTAATTCCTAAACCCTAGACGCAGAAGTGAGGCTGACACCAGGGCTTCTGAATCATGATCCCCTTGTGCGAGTCCCTGGTCGTATATTTCGGCCTGTGACCTTCATGACATTCAAGGGACGCCCTGATCGTCGTGGGAGAACAAACCCTGAACCCCAAACCCTAAGCCCTAAACCCTAAACCCCAAACCCCAAACCCTAAACCCTAAACCCTAAACCCTAAACCCTAAACCCTAAACCCTAAACCCTAAACCCTAAACCCTAAACCCGAAGCAACTCGTGTCAAGGTGGACATGGAGCTGGTGAAGGGCATTCCTCTCCGGCGGTCCCTGTCGAAACTGGGACGAGTTTGGCGGTGCCTGGGCTTCCAAGGGTCCCCTAAGGCCTAAACCCTAAACCCTAAGCCCTAAACCCTAAACCCTAAACCCTAAACTCTAAACCCTAAACCCTAAACCCCAGAGCCCTACGCCTTTAGTGAAGAGAGGAGGGAGCAAGGGGCCCTAGACCCTACACCCTAAACCCTAGACCCTAAACTCTAAGCCCCTAAACCCTAAGCCCTAAACCCTAAACCCTAAACTCTAAACCCTAAACCCTAACCTAGTAGTAGAGTAGGTAACCTTTAACCTTTTTGGGGGTAGTAGAATCCCCCTTATGATCCCAAAGGTTAACCTTTAATTCCCCCAGGTTACTGGACAACTAGTTCTTTCAGGGCCCCTTCACAGGTTGTCGTGTTGCAAACCGGGGGCAGTATGTTGTAGTTCAGTAGCATAGGCAGTATGTCAAGAAAAGTACAGACGATACGGGTCTAAATGAACAAAGAAATACACAAATCATGGATTAAATCAACAGGGACTACAATTTTCCAAGCCCCCTAAAGGAGCTGCTGTACGGGTGACTTACTCGAACCCTTGAAACGCCAAATCCGAAAGCCCATAATCCAAAGTCCCATAACCTTAAATCCTAAGCCCGCATATAGCCCGAGCAGAAGCAGACGTCCGAGGTATGACCCCTCCACATGGCAAGCGCAAGAGCGCATGAGCCTGCACGAGATGTCCCACGCAGTGGAATCGTTCCAGGCAAGTTGGCGGTAGGACGAGCAGCCCGTTTGCCCAAACCCTTTTACTGTGGCTATCAGTACGAGTTTCATGGTAACATTTTTATTGCTACCAGCATGTCGATTCTGAGTATGACGTTTGTTTCAGTTATGAAGATCACGTCCCCTATTAAGCCATCCAGTACCGTCTCTGCCGTGGCTTATTTTCAGCATGCACAGGCTCCTGCGTGTCTTTTTCAGATTGGCCCCTTTCTGGGCAAGTTCTTCAAAAAATGTGCTCCTAAATTCCAAACCCTAAACCCTAAAGGCCCTAAACCCTAAAGGCCCTAAACCCTAAACCCTAAACCCTAACCTTCGTATAGTGCAAGAAACAAATGCGCAGCTTCAGGTGTTTCTCTCCCACACGTGGCGGACTCCCGGCAAATGGAAGTTCCTCGCGCTGTCTTTTCAGTGCGGCTGGCAATATGCGCTGGGCGGCTGGTTTCTTGGCAGCCCGGTGGTACCCTTTCCTTGTGGTTCAAGGTTCCCTTATGAAGTAACCCTAAACCCTAAACCCTAAAACCGAAACCCTAAACCCTAAACCCGAAACCCGAAACCCTAAACCCTAAACCCTAAACCCAAGAAGGGTGCCCTTATAGAACTTACAGTAGTAGGGTTACTGTGCTGCCAAGGTTTATGTCGCTGGTACTGTGCTGGGGTCTTTGTGCGGTCGACGTGCTGCCGATGCCCCTGGAGCACCCGGGCTGTTCAGCTACGTTTTTTGAAACCCCTGAAGCCTCAACCTGAAACCCTAAACCCTAAACCCTAAACCCCTTCTAATTGCACCTTCCCTTGAAACCGCAGCCGGCCCTGCCTCGACACTTCGCTTTGTTCATTGGGGATGGGTTCCTTTGATTTTAAGCCCCAGGAAACTATATGAATCCCCCAACCCCCCGAGCTTAAGAAAGGTGCTTAGGCTTTCTTTGTGGGGATCACCTTATCTTCGCACCCTTGAAAGCGTAACCACTGCGTTTATTGGCTGAACCCAGAAGCCTGTTAGGCGTGGAAGGTCTGTTGTGAATTGAGATGAGGGTTGGGGTTTAGGGAGGGCGTGTTTAGCAGGGTTTAGGGTTTAGGGTTTCGCAAACCGGCAACCCCCATGAGCCACGTATGGAAAATTTAAGGCACCCTCTTCTGCTCTTAGTGAGTGAGCACACTTTACACTTTTTTGGGATTCTATAGTCCCCTATAGAACTTGAAGTGTACACTTGGGGGCTTATGACCTCAGCAACTAAGTGCTTTTCAGGGACCCGAAGCCCTACACGTTTGACGAAACCCTTCTATGGTGTTTGCACCTCCTCTCGAATCCTAGACACTACCGCCCGGGACCCAAAACCCTGTAGGGTTTAGGGCCTTTTAGGGTTTAGAGCCCCTAGGATTTAGGTTTAGGGTTTTGGGCTAGGGTTTGTTGTTTAGGTTTTGTAACCCTTAGGGTTTAGGTTTCGGGTCTAGGGTCTAGGGTTTCCAGGGCCTAGGGTTTCGGATTTCAAGGTTAGATTTCCCACCTGCACCCTTGTGTTCCTACCTTATAACCACCCTAAACCCTGAACCCTGAACCCTAAACCCTAAACCCTAAACCCCTACAAAAAACCTAAACCGGACAGCAGCCCAGGTATGATGCCACGATTCTCGACTTCGAGGCCGGTCGGGTGTATAGGCTTGGTAGCCCAGTGGTGCCCTTTACCCCTTGTTTTCTGGTTATGGGCTCACCCTAAACCCTAAACCCTAAACCCTAAACCCTAAACCCTAAACCCTAAACCCTAAACCCCCTTAAAAAGTAGCCAATCCAAAAAAGGGTTCCCTTCTACTTATGATATGGTGACTGGACTACCAGGTAGGCTTTGAGGTGAATCCTTGAGGGGTTTGGGCTCATGATCCTTAAGGTTTGGGGTTTCTAGGGCTTCGCGTTTCAGGTTTATAGGGTTTAAGGTTTAGAGTTCAGGGTTGAGGGTTTAGAGGGCTTTATGGGGCTGATAGGGTTTGTAAGGTTGTTTTTCGGGTTTTGAGGTTTAGGTCCTGCTGGTTTCAGTCATGGGATTCAGACTCGTACCCCGCAGTTTGTACCCCGAACGGTTCCCCTTAACATAATCCTAATATGACACTTCTACTACCTTAAGGATCTAAAGCCCAAGGGTACAACCTTAATGACTTAAGGGCCCATGGTACAACCCCTAGAACCCCCGAAACAAAATCCACGTCTCAGTAAACCCTACACCCTAAACCCTAAACCCTAAACCCTAAACCCTAAACCCTAAACCCTAAACCCAGGACCTTTGCCCTCTGGGCTTCTGGATCATCACTGGGGGCTTATTGGCAACTACCTTCGGCTTGCTCTCGGTCCCGCTCTGGCCCGACAGGTGCGATGACAATGTAGCAGTTGGGGGGCTGAAACCAGATAGATTAGGTTTAGGGTTTAGGGTTTAGGGTTTAGGGTTTAGGGTTTAGGGTTTAGGGTTTAGGGTTTAGGGTTTAAGGTTTATAGGCTTAGGGTTTATGGTTTGGGGTTTAGGGTTTAGGGTTAGGGGCATAATCCCTAAAGCCCTGCACCCTTGTTTCACGTAGGTGCTGACAAATCTCAAGTATGGGCGCGGTTTTGGCACCCGAAGGGCCCAGGGTTTAGCCTACCTTGACATGTTTCGGCCACATCGGGCCCTACACACCCGGCCCAAACTCCCCAAATGGGTGGTTTTCAGCATGACCCTAAACCCTAAACCCTAAGCCCTAAGCCCTAAACCCTAAACCCTAAACCCTAAACCCTAAACCCTAAACCCAAATGAAGCCTCTAAAGGTGCTGTCGCCCTGATCTCAGCTTCATTGATGTGACAAGCATCAACCAGGCGGCCTCAGGTACATAGGTCTTAGGGTTTATAGGGTTTAGGGTTTGGGGTTTAGGGTTTAGGTTTTGGGGTTTCGGGTTTGGGGTTTAGGGTTTAGGTTTTGGGGTTTCGGGTTTGGGGTTTGGGGTTTAGGGTTTAGGGTTTAGGGCTTCATGGATTCTTTAGATATTGGGCTATAGCGTGTAGGGTTCAGGGTTGTTAGGTTGATTCATAGGGCGTTTGTGGGCTTCTGCTGATTTTAAGTGTGGGCCCTTAGGGTATGTAATGGTTCGCCAATTCAGAAGTGTATTCAGAGGAGCGATGCAAACAGACCCCAAAGGATCCAGTAGGGTTCAGGGTTTGGGGTTTAGGGTGCAGAGTTTAGGGTGTAGGTTTTAGGGTTTAAAATTTATTGCTCTTTGTAGATACTGAGAACAAAATAAACTACAATACCGACTCTAAACCCTAACAACCTCGAGGAGCAAATGATCCCATTCAAGTACAAGGGGTCTTTTGGAGCGTGGCCAAGCAGGGCCTCTCAACCCTTCCTCCCTTAGGCTTTAGGGTTTAGGGTTTAGGGTTTAGGGTTTAGGGTTTAGGGTTTAGGGTTTAGGGTTTAGGGTTTAGGGTTTAGGGTTTAGGGTTCAGGGCTGAGGGTGTAGGTTTTTAGGGTGTAGGGTGTAGGGTATGCCTGAAGCTTCGACTCGGTAGCCCCTTTGATATGTTGCATTTTTTCCGGTTTAGGGTTTATAATAATATAGGCTTCAGGGTTTGCAATATTTTAGGGTTTATAATATTATAGGGTTCAGGGTTTAGGGTTTCAGAGGACAATGTCTAGGACTATAGTTTTCAGAGGGTATTCAAGGGCCATCCTAGTGAGCACCCTAAACCCTAAACCCTGAACCCTAAACCCTAAACCCTAATCCCTAAACCCTAAACCCTAAACCCTAAACCCTAGCAAATAAGATGCCCTCCCCCTCGTCACTCGGTTTTCTTTGGGCAAACACGATCTCGCTAGGTGGACACCGTCCTCATGGAGCCTTGGCAGCCCAGTGGTACCCTTTTTGCTTGGGTTTAGGGTTTAGGGTTTAGGGTTTAGGGTTTAGGGTTTAGGGTTTAGGGTTTAGGGTTTAGGGTTTAGGGTTTAGGGTTTAGGGTTTAGGGTTTAGGGTTTAGGGTTTAGGGTTTTTTTTCTTCTTTTTTTGCTTCAAGGTTCCCTTATACAGACATGAACCCCAAAACGGTAGCCTTACTTTATTTTTTCTGGGCTGCTCAGGAGCGCGGTGTCTTTGGCATAGCAGGATTCCTGAGCCTATCTTCCGAACTGCGCATCCTATGGAGTTCGCCGTACCTGTCTCGGCTGTGGTGTGTGCTTCTCGGATTCATGGGGGGATGCCTATTCCAGGCAGTCCCGTGGGATAGGTATATTTACCCACATTGGGCTTGAGAGGACCATATTTTGGAACAATTTCCAGAGGGTTTAAGGGGCCATTTAGACCACTTGTACGACGCTAAGTCCCAAGCCCTGCACCCTTTAGACCACTTATGAGGCCTTGTGGCTTCTAAACCCTAAGCCCTAAACCCTAAACCCTGCTGTGCCTCTTATTCCATGTTCTGAGGGTTTAGGTGGGGTTCAGGGTTTCGGTGGCCTCGTGGTGTTCCTTGGTGTAGGGTTCAGTGCAGGCGCCCTTATGAGCGCGGTTTAGGGTTTAGGGTTTAGGGTTTAGGGTTTAGGGTTTAGGGTTTAGGGTTTAGGGTTTAGGGTTTGGGTACTCCCGACTGACCGACCCAGGTTCGAGCTGGCAGCATACAAGAAGGTGCGGCCCACCGGGAAGATCTCATTCAGGCCCCTCTTCATCGAGAAGGTCACTTAGTAGCTGAATGCGTAGACTTTACACTTTTGGGGGATACCCTAACCCTAAACCCTAAACCCTAAACCCTAAACCCTAAACCCTAAACCCTAAACCCCTAAACCCCTAAACCCCTAAACCCCTAAACTCACCAACTGAGGTCATGTTCTGGATGTTGTCCTGCTCGTATCTCTATGGGTTTCTGATACTGAGTAGTGCTTGAGGAACATTTTAAAGTTTCCCTTTCTTCCCTTTTGAGGGAACCCAAACAGAAATAATGTTCAAAGGGCTTTAAAACACCACTCAGGATACTTTTTGCCAGGGGTCTGCTGGGTGCGACGGTGATCCTGCTCGCGGCAGTGTTCGCAATCTACTTTGTGACGTGGACCATCGGCATCTACATGCTTAGGATGAACTTCCGCGAGAAGCATCACTTGTTGCACCAGCTAGAACACTTCGATCTGGATCATGCTCATTGCTCCCGGCCTTTCGACCGTCGTTCGGCTGCATTTCGTCTACTTTCATGTCCACTGCAGGCATACAGGAGTAATTGCTGTGCCGGTTGCTGAAGTCTCAGGGCAGTTCATCCACGACGCCATTGTCGAATGGTATGGCAGCAACTTGCTTAGCCAACAGTTGAATGTTTTTTGGGGCATCCTTTGTTCTTGTAGCAATCACAAGGCCCATCCTGCTTCCCTAAGCCCTAAACCCCTTTTCGTTTCCCTAAGACGTAATTAAACCCCCAAGGCGATGTAAACCCTTAACCCTAGTTGTGGGAGAACAAAGGTTTATCTTTTTGCCCCGCTGCCCTGAACCCTAGGTTTAGGTTTAAAGTTTTAAGGGTTTAGGGTTTAAGGGTTTTAAAGGGTTCAGGGGATGAGGGCTTAAGGGTTTTTAGGCCCTATTCCCTGTGGGAGAACTATGCCTAAGCCCTAAACCCTAAACCCTAATACTAAACCCTAAACTTTAAAACCTTACGCCCTAAACCCTGAAAGGCACGGATGCCTTTGTCGACTTCGTGCGTGGGGACCTGCGGCTTGACTTGGAGAAGGTGCTGTCTGCCGTGCGGCTCCCGAACCAGTGCCTGGGTTCGCTGTGTGGCATTTTTGGGGGGGCTTTAGGGTTTAGGGTTTAGGGTTTAGGGTTTAGGGTTTAGGGTTTGGGACTTGGGGTTTAGGGTTTAGGGTTCAGTGCTTAGGGTTTAGGGTTTAGGGTTTCGGGTTTAGGGTTTAGGGTTTAGGGTTTAGGGTTTAGGGTGACAACCCCAAGTTATAAGCATAAGCCCTAAAGCCCTATACCCTTAACCCTTTTCGAATGCAAAGAACGCCTCCTGGCCCTCGTCAAACTTTGTCTTGGACCCTCGGGTTTCCGCCAAACCTTCGTCGAGTTTCCCGGGAACCCTAAACCGTAAACCCTAAACCCTAAACCCTAAACCCTCTTGATGCGCTTGCCTCTTATAGACTAGCGTTGTGGACCCCTAAACCCTAGACCTTTAAACTCTAAACCCCTAAACCCTACCTACAGCGTTGTGGACCCTAAGCCCTTTGCTGGAAAGCATCAAAGGGTCGCATGGGTTTCGGGTTTAGGGTTTGTGGTTTAGCGTTTAGGGTTCAGGGTTTCGAGTTTAGGGTTTAGGGTTTAGAGTCAAAAAGGCACCGAGTTGGGTTATAGATACTGTAGCTATAGGTTTAGGGTTTAGGGTTTAGGGTTTGGGGTTTAGGGTTTAGGGTTTAGGGTTTAGGCATTGCAGGTTCCTCATCTACAGTTAACCTACACGTTGAAGCAGAGTTGCAGGAGAGAAGTGGTTTCCCGGAAGTAGGGTGGCCTGAGTTTCTTTACTTCCTTTTAGGGTTTAGGGTTTAGGGTTTAGGGTTTAGGGTTTAGGGTTTAGGGTTGCCGGGCTTGGGAGCTCAACTCCCTCCCCTCTATATGAAACAGGGTTCATATTACTGTTATTGGTGAGTGTATATTTGGTTCCTTTTTAATATTGGTGAGTGTATATACCTGGTGGCCTTTTGGGGGTACAAGAAATATAAGCCCTACTTCAATATGAGCCCATGACCATAAACAAAAAGCTTGGAGAAACTCGCCATGCACTAAAATGCCCTCAGTTCTTTGGCAAGCCGGAACTGGGAGAGAAGTCGGTTTCTCATGACGTGGTTAGTCAGATTGCCTTCTCATGAATCTTTATAAGCCCGAAGCGCTCAACCCTAAACCCTAGAAACTAAACCCTAAACCCTAAACCCTAAACCCTAAACCCTAAGCACGCTTAGGTACCAGATCTTGCTGCTCACCCCCGCCCTCAGCCTGAGCGCCGAGCTTCTCCTGGCGAACTGGAAGGGTGGAGCTCCTGCTGAGGCCGTTTGGTTTAGGGTTTAGGGTTTAGGGTTTAGGGTTTAGGGTTTAGGGTTTAGGGTTTAGGGTTATTAGTTTAGGGTTTAAAGGTTTAGGGCTTAGGGTTTAGGGTTTAGGGTTTAGGGCAGCCTTCCCAGGCATCCCAAAAGCCTAAAACCTCATTCCTTTGGACTAAATCTTCAATTTTCTCTTTTGTGCTGAGGAGCACCACCTTTAACCCTAAACCCTAAACCCTAAACCCTAATCCCTAAACCCTCCTAAACCCCCTCTATAGCCCCACATCATAGCAGAACCCCCCCCCCCCCCCCCCTCTAGAACGACCAAGCCCAAACCCTAAAACCCCCAAGAAACCCTAAACCCTAGAACCCCAAAAGCCTAAACCCGAAACCCTAAACCCCTAAACCCGAAAATCCGAAAACCCTAAGACCCAAAAAGGGACCACCAAGGTTCTCTTGTCCTTCGTCGTCGGATCCACGCTCGGGATGAACATCTTCTACACCCTGGCCTGCAACCTTTTGATGCACGGACGCAGGGTTTAGGGCTTAGGGCTTAGGGCTTAGGGCTTAGGGTTTAGGGTTTAGGGTTTAGGGTTTAGAGTTTAGGGCTTAGGGTTTTGGGGGTTTAGAGTTTAGGGTGTAGGGTCTAGGGCCCCTTGCTCCCTCCTCTCTTCTCTAGAGGCGTAGGGCTCTGGGGTTTCTAGAGTTTAGCGTTCATCGGATTTAAGGGTTTTTGGGGTTTAGGCTAAGTACATGGACAGGACAAAAGTTTCGACCTACCAAGACCTGAACATGTTGCGGAGTCGCGGAGTCGCGCACATGTGGATCTATCCTAGCCTGCGTAGCGGAGAAATTCACCCACCGGAACCAAAAATCTAAACCCTAAACCCTAAACCCTAAACCCTAAACCCTAAACCCTAAACATGTTGTACAGGTGGAGTCCTGGTGTGCTAGGAGTCTAAAGGAAAAGGGGAGCTTAGCCTTGCCATGCTTGCCTGTGTGTGTGCTGATGCCTCTGGGTATAACCCTAAACCCTAAACCCTAAACCCTAAACCCTAAACCCTAAAAAACTTTCGTCCTACCTGAACAGGGTTTGGGCTTGGGGTTTGTAGTGTGTTTGGTTTGGGGTTTCGGGTTCAGTAGGTTGTTACCATCTTCCCTGAACCCTAAACCTAAACCCTAAAGCCTGTTTTTTCGGTGGGGTAAAGCACCCTTCTGAACAGACGAGAGCGTCCTTTTGCATTCCTACAGGGTGGGGCCCCTTAGTTATAAGTAGAGTCATAAGGGCCCTAAATTGGGTTATAAGGACCCTAAGTTAGGTTATAAGTCCCTTAACTACAGTTAGTATAGTAAGGGGGCCCCACCCTGTAGGTCACTCCTGGCATTGATAGGAATCCCCTGAACCCTAAACCCTAAACCCTAAACCCTAAACCCTAAACCCTAAACCCCTCTGGGACAAGGATGCTCTACCTCTGTGACGTTTTGGCCCCTCGCCGTTTCGGCTGCATGGATCACCTGCAGACTCTCTTCATCATCGCCTCTAGGATTTCAAGTGGCAACCTCTTTGGGATTTGCTACTATTTGCTGAAGGAACCCCCAAGGGAATAGAAAACACATATCCCTTTATTACCCCTAATAAGGAAGAATACCTTGTTTCCTTAGGCAATTAGTAGTTTGGGGTCTAATTTGGGTTCAGGGGTTTAGGCTTTTCTATGACCCGGAGTAGGCCCTTGCAGGCCATTGCCTTGTCATCCTTTGAGGATTCTACATAGAACTCGAAGTCTTTGGTTTACTAGGACCCAGATTAGGCCCGTATTCCTTTTATTAGGGTTTAGGTTCTCGTGCAAGCCCAGGCTACTCTTGGGTCTAGCATTTCCTTGCTTTCAGGTGAGGCCTCGTTAAGACAACTACCCTGAATCCTACAGCTCTCAAACGTGGGTGGGTTACGTGGGAACCCGAAGCCGTAGACCCTCTCGTTCTATTTCTATAAACTATAAACACATAATATATATATATATATATATGTATATGTATATATGTATATATAAGAGCGTTTCTTTTTTCGGCCAGAACCATAACCGCCAGGGTTTAGGGCCGAGGGTCATTTCTGTCATTCGCACCTCTGCAGAAGTCCTCTTGGAATCCACCGCTTTTTCCTGAACCTAGATACACCCCCCTAAACCCTAAACCCTAAACCCTAAACCCTAAACCCTAAACCCTAAACCCTAAACCCTAAACCCCCCCCCCACCTTTACACAAGGGTGGTTTTGGGTTTGGTGGGGGCAGAAACCGGAGCCACAATGAAAACGCAATCGACAGTCCAGGGCTTAAACCCTCAACATGCTTATGGTTCGGTGTTTAGGGTTTAGGGTTTAGGGTTTAGGGTTTAGGGTTTTAGGGGCATCGATGGCTTAGGGCCTCAACCCGGAACCAAAATCGACACGATGATGGCTCAGGGTTAGGAAGTAACTCGTATCTTCCGATGATAAGGTGTTGCTGTTGTGTGTCTTGTCGCCTGACAAGCAACATGTAAGGCGTCGGAGCCTTTTGGGTGTGGGGTTTTTTTCCAACTCTCCACAAGCTGCTTGACTAGTGAATGCCTGGACTTGAGATGCTACACCCTAAACCTTAAACGCTAAACCCTAAACCCTAAACCCTACATCCCCAAAACCCACCTAGGTGCTCGTCGTGGGCCTCTGGGGCGCCGGATCTGTGCTTTGCGCACGGATGTTCCCTTGACATCGTGGGGGAACATTTTTGCATCGTTTAGGGTGCCTAAACCCTAAACCCGAAACCCTAAACCCTAAACCCTAAACCCTAAACCCTAAACCCTAAACCCCAAACCCCAAACCCCAAACCCCAAACCCCAAACCCTAAACCAACCATGGACCAGGTTCCAGGAAAGCTTAGCCAGAGCCTTCATCTTCCTCATCGGCTCCATTGCCTTTGCTGCCTTCATGTGCCTTGGGGACCAATTGCACCCTGTAGTTGGGGTTTAGGGTTTAGGGTTTAGGGTTTAGGGTTTAGGGTTTAGGGTTTAGGGTTTAGGGTTTAGGGTAATATCATCCCTATTAAGGTACATGGACCGTAAAGCCTTTAATCCCTAAACCCTTACACCCGCAGCCACTTTGCAACTCGGAGAGTCATGGAGCTCTCTTCTTGCAATCGTACTACTTGGAGGTTCAGGGTGCTTATAGCCCCAATTACAAACTGTACTTATAAGCCCCCTAAGTAAGTCATGTGAGTAGGTAATAACTGGACTCATCATTGTGGTTATAAGTACCCACGAACCTCCAAGTACGGCTGATCTACAACTCTGACTTTGCATGTCTAGGTACGCCTCAAATGAAACCATGATCTGACTGGTCCGTAGTAAGGAGCTAGGGCAGTGGGTACCCCATGCAGTCCCTTCTCCCTTGGTCCCTAGTAAGAGCTAGCAAGCTGTAAGCCAATGGGGGTTGCCGAAATTAGGGGGCACCATGTTGGGGGTCATTATGAGTAAGGGAACCCTAAACCCTAAACCCTAAACCCTAAACCTTAAACCCCCATACAGGGGGACTATATTTGGGGTCCCCTCATCTTCGTAGACCCTAAACCCTAGACCCTAAACCCTAAACCCTAAACCTTAAACCCTAAACCCTAAACCCCCAAAACGCTCTTCCAGAGGTGGTGGCTCGAAGGCAGGTCGGCCATGGCTGTGCTGAGCCGATTCCACCGGAGATGGCGCTGAGTTTAGGGTTTAGGGTTTAGGGTTTAGGGTTGAGGGTTTAGGGTTTAGGGTTTAGGGTTTAGGGTTTAGGGTTTAGGGGAGTCTCCTGCAGCAAAAGGCTGTGCAGAGAGTCTAGGGTTTACGAAAGACTCCCCCCCCCCCACCTGTGCAGTTCCCATTTTGGGAGGGGGCCCTATTTGCGTGTCCGGCCTAAGCACTGTAAGGCGGCATCCCAGACTCTCTGCGATCATCTTGCGCATCTCCAGCTCCCTGACCTCCCGCAAACGCAGACGCCTGCAGGGAGCTGGGTATCTGAAGCGCGTGTTTATTCTGCGGGTCGTTCTCTCAACGTGCCTTCCCGGGTTCTTGCCCTGGGTTTTTCTCGGGGTTTAAGCACACCAACTGGAATCCTCAATAGAAACATGAGTACCTTGAACCCACATGAAACCTTCCTAGTAGAGTAGGTAACCTTGAACCTTTTTGGGTTCTCATATTCCCTTGATAACCCCAAAGGTTAACCTCTAGCTCCCCTACAATACTGGACAACGAAGAAGCTCTAAGCCCGAAACCCAGAGAACCTGAACCCGAAACCCGAAACCCGAAACCCTAAACCCTAAACCCTAAACCCTAAACCCTAAACCCTAAACCGAGAGAACTGCTCATAATGAATCTTCGGTCCAGCTTGAAACCGATCCGAAGAGGATGTCTGAGCCGCTTGGCAAAGAGAGTCGCGCACGCTTCTGCCCATAAGTCCTAAACCCTAAACCCTAGCCCTAAACCCTAAACCCTAAACCCTAAACCCTAAACCCTAAACCCTAAACCCTAAACCCTAAACCCTAAACCCTAAACCCTAAACCCTCACCCCCATCCGCAGGAGACTCTTACCCCTAGTTTTCGGGATGTAATCTACCAGTTCGGCTATTTTGTAAATGGGGGCTTTGTGTCCAGACATGGTACTTCTTAATCAGTTCTAGCTGTTCTTATTACCCAAACTACAACCATATTAGGGCACTTAAGGGGCGTGTAAGTGGGCTATAAGTATCATTGGTTAATAGGTACCATGAACCTCCAAGTGGGGTCACTAAGGTCACTAAACCTCGAAAGCCCGAAAGCCCCCCCGCCAATCCGGAGCCTTGATCTACAGGGCTCTTGGTTGGGGGGGTTTGGGGCTTGGGGCTTAGGGCTCAGGGCTTAGGGCTCAGGGCTTATGGCTTGGCGTTATATTCCCCTATTCAAAGGGGTAGTTATAGGGTCGCTCAATATTGTCCCTTGCCTTCTTGCAAGGGTTCAGGGTTCAGGGTTCAGGGTTTAGGGTTTAGGGTTTAGGGTTTAGGGTTTAGGGTTTAGGGTTTAGGGTTTAGGGTTTAGGAAGTATGGGCCCGTGGGTTCTTATAGGGTACCTGGGGGTATATACGAGGTCCAATTTTAAGGGCCAGAGTAAGGGACCATACCCAAAACCTATGTATGTAGATATATGTGTGTATATATATACATATACGATCTTGAGAGATTCGACAGCGCACCTAGTTAGGTACATACCTTAGTCAGGTTACAGCAGGGGCTAGGGCTTAGGGGTCAGCAGAATTCAAGGGTGCAAGGTGCCTTCCAGGGTGAGCTGGCTAATGTTGGTTCAAGGCTGGTAGGTCTAGGGTAGGTCTAAGGTTTATGGTGTAGGTTTAGGGTCTAGGGTCTAGGGTCTAGGGTTTAGGGTTTCGGGTTTAGGGTTTAGGGTTTAGGGCTTTTGGGCAGGCTTGTACAGGGCTGTAGAGCTTGTTCCAGGCCTAGGACCCCCTGGGCTTCTGCTGTTTGCCTTGATTCTGTTCGTTGAGGGTTTTCGGGTTTAGGGTTTAGGGTTTCGGGTTTCGGGTTTAGGGTTTCGGGTTTAGGGTTCAGGGTGGCGTTTTACTTGGACACCGGCGCTCTCACTGGATCGAGTTGCGCAAGGGCCTCGAAGGCACTTGCCTCAGCAAGATGCTGCGCATCAGACTCGTGTCGGGCCTTGAGGTGGCATGCTTCACTCAAGAGCAGCTCCTTGGAAACCAAATGAGCCCTATAATTGGGCTCATATACCCTCTACGATTAGAAATCCCGTTCAGGTATCTGGACCCTAAACCCTTTTGAGGTTCCTCTGGTACCCAAAGTAAGGTTAAGCCCTAAACCCTAAACCCTAAACGCTAAACCCTAAACCCTAAACCCTTTTGAGGTTCCTCTGGTACCGAAGGTTGAGCGACGTGAAGGCATTGAAGCAAGAGCTGCATCAACAGCACGGCTTCCCGCTTCGCTTCAGGCAAAGGCTGTTTCCTTGCGGTTCTCTAAGCACCCTGGATGATACCGCCAAGCTGGACTCCGAAACTGATCTTGAGCTGGTTTTGCTGACGTGCCTTGGGGGGCCAAATGAACCCTATATAATTGGGGTCATACACCCTATGCTAGTACAATCCCTATTAGGCACTTAAACCCCAAACCCTAGACCCTAGACCCGAAACCCGAAACCCTAAACCCTAAACCCTAAACCCTAAACCCTTCGTGTAGGTCCCCAAGGTATGCCGCGGCATCCCAAGACGAAGCGGACGCGCTGGTGACGGCCGCCCAGAACGGCTCCAAAGCCGAGGTCCCTAAAAGGGTTTAGGGTTTAGGGTTAGGGTTTAGGGTTTAGGGGTAGGGTTTTCGGTTTAGGGTTTGAGGTTTAGGGTTTGGGGTTTCGACCCCAAAGTCGAAAGCCCCGCAGGTTGAGACCATGCTGCAGCACCCTTGGCACCCAGACGTGGCCAACGCAAACAGCAGAAGCTCGATGATGCTGGCCTCCGAGAACGGCCACACCGAGGTTTTAGGGTTCTGAAGGGAAGGCCATAAACCCTAGGGTTTAGGGTTTAGGGTTTAGGGTTTAGGGTTTAGGGTTTAGGGTTGGGGGTCCTATTACGGTTTAGGGTTTCGGGTTCTTAAGAGAGGGGGGTTCCAGGGGGTATGTAGCCCAGCGTTCCCGAAACTTCCCACTTCTCCCTAAGGCTCCCTTAGCTTCCCTAAGGTTCCCTGGGTACCTACGCTCACTGAACCCCCTCCATTATAACCCTGGAACGAGGTTGTGGAATTACTGCTGGAGGCTGGTGCTGATAAGGACTTCACCGACAACCGCAGGGTCAGTAGCCTGATGTTGGCTACTCAATCAGGCCAAATTGATGTCGTGTCGTTGCTTCTGGAGCACGGTGCCGACACGACTTTTGTCGAGACACAGTGGGGCATGACTGCCCTCTTCTTGGCGTCTCTGCATGGGCATGTTGATCTGGTGCGCTTGCTACTGCAGGCTGGTGCGGACAAAGACCACGCGAACAACGGGGGTGTCACAAGCCTGATGATAGCTTCGCAGCAAGGCCACGTTCAAGTTGTGCGTCTGTTGCTGGAGGCTGGTGCTGCGAAGGACACCGCCTGCAACGCTGATCACATGACTGCGCTGCTTGCAGCTTCAAGCAGAAATCATGTCGATGTTGTGCGATTGCTGCTGGAGGCCGGCGTCCACATAAACCACAAGAAGACACTCGGTGCTACAGCGCTGATGCTGGCTTCTGCTCACGGCCATGTTGAAGTTGCCCGGCTGCTGCTTGAGACCGGCGCCGACAAGGACGTAGCCGACGATGATCCGGGCATGACAGCTGTCACGTTCGCATGTGAAAACGGCCGTGCGCAAGTTCTGCGCTTGTTACTGGAGGCCGGGGCCAGGGACGTAGCAGACAACGAAGGCTACACCGGCCTGATGTTAGCGTCTCGTAACGGAGATGTTGAAGTTGTGCGCTTGTTGCTCGACAGCGGTGCTGACACGAGCTTGGCCAACGATGAAGGCCTCACTGCCCTCATGTTTGCTTCGAAGCACGGCCATGTTCAAGTTTCGCAGCTGTTGCTCGGCAGCGGCGCTGACAGGAAGTTCGCCAACAAGGACGGCCTGACTGCCCTGATGTTGGCTTCTCGAGAGGGCCATGAGGAAATTGTGCGTTTGCTGCAGTTCGACGAATCGAATTAGAGTTTTGCGGACTCCTTCGGTCTGGGACAGTGCTGAAAAGTTGGCGGGCACCCGATGGGTTCATGTACCCACATGGGGCTTTCCGAAATTGAGGGTACGTTCTGGGGGTCCTTGTGATAAGGGGATCCTACTATTTGGGGTTTGTATATTGAGGGCCGCTTATTTTCGTAAACCCCTCACATGGCGCCGAACGTGCAAGGTTTAACAGCTTGTGTACAGTAAGAGTCTTAAGTGTGTGCATCCGCAATGTGAACGTAGTCTTAGATTCTGTCTAAAGTCGAGTGTTCAGGGTTTTAGGGTTGGGTTTAGGGCTGAGGGTTGAGGGTTTAGGGTTTAGGGTTTTAGGGTTTTAGGGTTTTAGGGTTTAGGGTTTAGGGTTTAGGGTTTAATTAGGGTTCAGGGTTTAGGTAGGGTTTGAGTGTTTCAATGTAAGGGTGCAAGCCTAAACCCTTTACCTCCAGCACGCAAGGCATTGTCTTATTTCAAAACCTCATTGCTTTACTTTCGGACCCGATCTCCGCCTATCTATCTATCTGTCTATGTATATGTATACATACATATATATATATAGTATTTATATTGAAATTTGTATTCATATTTATATTTTTATCTATATACACATACCAAACACCCTGTGAGGAGTTCTCCTATAATTTTGGGTCATATACACTACGCCATTAGAATCCCATTAAGGCATATGGACCATGAACCATCTTAGGGTTCCTCTAGTCGCCAATGCTATAGGGCTATGCAAAACCCTTTAAAAGGTTCTATAGGAAACTCGAGGCAGTCATGCGGAGGAGGGCGGGTAGAAGTTTCAGGGTTAGGGTTTAGGGGCCAGCTCTTTGGGTTTAGGGTTCAGGGTTTTAGGGTTCAGGGTTTAAGGTTTAGGGTTTGGGGTTCAGGGTTCAGGGCTTTAGGGTTTAGAGCTTGGGGTTTGAGAAAAACCGTAGCCTGCCCAAGCAAGAGCCGCGGGATTATTTAGGGTTTAGGACTTCTAGTTTAGGGCATTTTGGGGCTTAGGTTTTTGAGGTTTGGCCTTCAACCCTGAACCCTAAACCCTAAACCCTAAACCCTAAACCCTAAACCCCACCATGCTCCGGGTGGTGGCCCCTCACAAGCGAGGACCGGCTCCGTGAGAGGTGCAACTTGCCCATCCATGAGGCCGCCCCCTTTGGATGTGTTTAGGGTTTAGGGTTTAGGGTTTAGGGTTTAGGGTTTGGGATTTTAGGGTTTGGGGTTTGGGGTTTAGGGTTTAGGGTTTTAGGGTTTGGGGTTTGGGGTTTGGGGTTTGGGGTTTAGAGTCATAGGGTTGTAGGGTTGTTGGGTTATAGGGTTGTTGGGTTAGGTGATTCGAGCCTAGGGTTTTAGGGCCACTTGCTAGGGATTGCCCGGATAAGCCCTAAACGGTTTAGGGTTTAGGGTTTAGGGTTTTAGGGTTTAGGGCTAAGCCCCGAAGCCCTAGAGCCTCAGACCGTTTGGAACTCTAACCTACCAATCCCAATCCCGAACCCAGCAGAAGTGCTGAGCCCAAGAAGTTCCATCACATGATAGGTTTGTCTATCTATCTGTATATATATATATATATATATACATATATGCATATATATGTATAGGCTTATGTGCGTATGTCTGTCTACTTATCTACTGTTTATGTATTAATTTGTATTTTATGTCTGTCTTTATAAGCTATGTATTGCTTCTAGTTGCTTATGTCTTGACTTGTTATTGGTTAGTAGTGCTATTCTCATACCCTAGAACCCCTATATAAACCCTACATAAACTCTATTCAAACCCTATTCATACCCTAGAAACCCTATATGAACGCTATATAAACTCTACTCAAACCCTCTAAAACATATGGACCCTATATAAACTATATGTACCCCTATTCAAGCCCTATAAACCCCATAAACCCCTATATAAACCCTACATAAACCCTATATAAACCCTATTCAACCTCTATATAAACCCTGAATAACCCCTATAAAAACCCTATTCAACCTCTATATAAACCCGAAATAAACCCCATACTGATCTTCTCATTCTTCTAGGCTCGGCCCCGGCTCCTTCAAGCTATCGGCAGGGGGCCCAGGCTTTTGTTGCGGGAGGCTTTCGTTGGGGGGGGGGGGGGGTAAGGTTTGGGGTTTTTTGGGGGTGGAGGGTTAAGGTTTCGGGTTTGGGGTTTAGGGTTTGGGGGGGGGGGGCGTAGGTTTGTAATGTTTGGGGGCTTGCGGGCTTAGGGGTTTTGGGATTCTAGGGGTTTTGGGGTTTAGGGTTTGAGGGTTTAGGGGCTTAGGGTTTTAGGGTTTAGGGGCCTGGGTGTCAAATGGGCATTTCTGAAAAACACAAGTGTATACCCGCTTTTTCACCCCCCAAGTACAGCATACTCCCCTGTATTCAGAACCCCCCCCCCCCCCCAAAAAAAAAAAAAAAAAGCGATAAAGTGGGTACCCTGGTTTGGGATAGCAGCCGCCCCAGGCTTTCGGACAACACCCTGAGGTTCTAAGTCCTTTGAAACAGCATCCGGCCTATAACGTTACGCTCAAACACGGTTTGGGACGCTAGACTATCCCAAAACCCATGCCACTGAAACCCAACATGATACGAGAAAAGTCCGAAATCCGGTCGCCGAAAACGCCCAGAGCCCTACAAGCCTAAGCCCTAAAACTCTGAAACCCCAACCCACCCTCTACAGCCCCCTAAGCCCCTCAGCCTCAAATTACACCCTAAGCCCTAAAACCCTAAAACCCTGCACCCTAAGACCCTAAGACCCTAAAACCCTAAAACCCCTAAACCCATACTCAGCTAGATATGGTGTTAAGGTTTATTCGAGTATGACTGCAACTTGCAGGAGCACGCCAGTCCCGAAGCTCCAAAAAGGCTTCAAGCAGCAAGACACCGTCTTCATGTCTCGACGAATCATGTTCATTCAGCTACTGACTTAAAACTTTATAGGGTTTAGGGTTTAGGGTTTAGGGTTAAGGGTTTAGGGTTTAGGGTTTAGGGTAGTGGGCAAGCAATCCTCCATGATCTGAGGTGCCCAAAGTGATTCCGGCGCGTTTCGCAGTGCTGCCACCTATACCCTAAACCCTAAACCCTAAACCCTAAACCCTAAACCCTAAACCCTAAACCCTAAACCCTAAACCCTAGCCCCTAAACCCTAAAACCTAAACCCTAAACCCTAAACCCAGCCGTGGAGTCCGAGAGCCGGGATCGGTTGCCTGCGCATCGGCGCTGGGCGCAGCGCGATACTGAATCCCAGAAGAGGCGGCACACACTGATCGACTTTGGGGTTTAGGGTTTAGGGTTAGGGTTTCGGGTTTAGGGTTTAGGGTTTAGGGTTTAGGGTTTAGGGTTTAGGGTTTAGGGTTTAGGGTTTAGGGTTTAGGGTTTAGGGTTTAGGGTTTAGGGTTTAGGGTTTAGGGTTTAGGGGAGGAGAAGAATGCTAACTTGGAGGCTCAGGTTACGCAGCAGGGCAGGGAATTGGAGGAGCTCAAGCAGGAGCTGCAGCAAACCCAGATAACCGGAATCTCTAAAACCCTAAAACCCTAAACCCAAAGCCCTGAACCCTAAACCCTAAACCCTTCAAACTCTAAACCCTAAACCTGAACAAACAACCCAAAAGCACTAAACCTGAAAGCCAGCCTCGGACGAGGTCGGAGCCGTGTGACGCTCGTAGCCGCGGACACCGGGTCAGGCAGATCAAGATTCAGCGTTCAGGGATGTTCAGGCTTTCAGGTTTGGGGTTTAGGGTTTAGGGCTAGGGTTCAGGGTTCAGGGTTTAGGGTTCAGGGTTTAGGGTTCAGGGTTCAGGGTTCAGCGTTCAGGGTTTAGTCGGTTTAGGATGGCGAATTAGGCCCTTGGTACATTTCCCATTTACCCCATCACGGGCCCGTGCTTTAGGGGGGGGGGGGGGTGTTGCAGGTTTAGGGTTTAGGGCTCCGGGTTTAGGGTGTAGGGTTTAGGGTTTAGGGTTTAGGGTTTAGGGTCCAGGGTTGAGGGTTTAGGGCTCCGGGTCCAGGGTTTAGGGTTTAGGGTTTTTGGGTTTAGGTCGGGTGTTCCAGGTTTAGGGGCCTTAGGGCTGTAAGTCTTAAACCCCTACCGAGCCACAGTGCCCAGCCCAAAGAGAGGTTTCCGAAAATAGTGGAGGTACCTTTTGGGGTTCCTATAATAAGGATTATACTACTTTGGGGCTGATGGATGGGTTTAGGGTACCCTAAACCCTAAACCCTAAACCCAAAAGTCTACACCCTAAGCCTTAAACCCTAAACCCTAAACCCTAAACCCTAAACCCTAAACCCCTAATCCCTCCCAAACCCCAAACCCCAAACCCTAAACCCTAAACCCTAACCCTAATCCCTGAACCCCAAACCCTAAACCCTAAACCCTATTTGGGGAAATGCCCAAGTATGTTCGGCCTGCCCCTCCGCAGGCAAGTCGACTCAAGTTCCACAGTACGTGCTCGACGATGTGATTTCACAAGGCCCGGTGCTCTCACGACCCTAGGCCGTAAACCCTAAACCCTAAACCCTAAACCCTAAACCCTAAACCCTAAACCCTAAACCCTAAACCCTAAACCTAAACCCTAAACGCCTGAATCCCTAGGGGTTGACAGGACCGCATCTCTTGCAGGGTTTTGGTTGTAGTTAGGGGGTCGTTGGGGAAGACGGGGTTCACGCTTTCGGGAAGGCTTTAGGGTCTTGGGACCCAAAGTCCCTGAACCCAATTATTCATACACACAGCAGCAATTGTGCGTGTCGTTTGAGTAAGGTTTAGGGTTTAGGGTTTAGGGTTTAGGGTTTGGGGTTTAGGGTTTACGGTTTACGGTTTACGGTTTACGGTTTACGGTTTACGGTTTACGGTTTACGGTTTACGGTTTACGGTTTACGGCACATAAAGAGCTCGGACGAGTTAGGGTTTTATAGGGTTGAGGGAAGGTAGGGTTTAGGGCTCAGAGCAGCCTGACCCAATCCCCCCCCCCCCCTCCCTCCCTCCCA